CTAGCTAAGGGGTGTATGTAAGAAACCTGTACTTCAAGAAGAGGTTTTTCCATATAATTTGAGAAGTTTGGGTTAATCTCACAAAACACAACCCCAACTGAATTTGTTTCCTTGAAATTTTGTTAACTTTGTTACTATATGAAGGATTATACGAGGAATTCTTAAGATTTCTCGAGATCCCAAAATTTCTTAATCCGGTTCTTCCCAAGTAGGTGAAGGAAATACAAAGAAATATGACTGGAGCTCAAATTCCATATCTGATTAATAATAAATTATGACTCAAAATTGGAAATGCAGCTTTAAAAGTCCCCAAGAAATGTCAAAAGAGTTTGTCAATGAACTCAAAAAAGGAGATTCAACTCAACTAAGTGGATGGCAAAAATTGTAAAAGAGAGTTTGAACTGGATCTTTGATGAAATCGGGGTTAATTTATAGGTCTGGGGTAGAATACAGTACCCTAATGCTTCTTGTTCCTTGCAGACTTCAAGGAAGCATTTCTCCTGTTTGACAGAACAGGTGAAAGCAAGATCACCTTAAGCCAAGTTGGTGATGTGCTTCGAGCTTTGGGCACAAATCCCACCAATGCAGAGGTCAAGAAAGTTCTGGGAAATCCCAGCAATGAAGGTAACCACATGTTTTTCCAAGAAGCTGGAAACACGTGTGTGTGTATGTGCATGTGCTTGTGTGTGTGTGTGAGAGAGAGACAGACAGAGAGAGAGAGAGAGACAGAGAGACAGAGAGAGATATTTATTAAGATATAAGTTCCAAAGACTAGGGCTTAATTTGCTTTTGATAGTAAGTGTGCCACTTGGCTGTCTAGAGTCTCTGTTTTCCCCTCCCTCATAGAATAAGTTAATCTTCCTTTGAGAATTTGCAAGCATGATTAAATTTCATGCTAATGAAAGGAAATAATATCTAATGCTAACACAGTCATTGCCATCATCCTAATGCTCATAATTTAAAGGTTAATGAAATGAAATAGTACCCAAATCTATATATTATTTTTTTCAAACATTTAAAGGCAAAAATACATTTTGACAAAGATGTTAAATATGACTAAAACATAATGTATTTTTCAAATAACTCTGAGCAAATTACGATGTCACACTTCTAGAGATCTACTCTGATAAAAGCTGTAGAAATGAAATAACATGTTTTCAGGACACTGAAAATATCTGCTAACTTTGCCCAATAGTCTGTCTTTTGACACCCTGTTTCTGCAACCATCTTAAAGGAAACCCAGCTATCTTAATTTAGACAGGATGACATCTTAATAAGATTTTTCATTTCCAAAGAATTACAAAAAGACTTAAAAATCTAAGCTAAAACCTGTATTCAGTTGCCCGAGGTAAATCCTAGGACAAAGTTCAGTGAGATACGTAAATGGCAAATTGCAGAGATTATTTGCGCAATACAGAAATCTAGTCATTAGTCTGGAACATGGAATTTTTTTTAAGTCCAAAGGATCATGGCAAAGTATAATAGTCTATTGGAAAACAGACTAAATAAGAAAAACAAGACAAAAACTGAAGTTTTTTTAAGTGGATATATGAGCTGTTTCACTTTGCCCAAGGGAAAAAGGAAGAGAGAGCAAATAACCGTTTTTTCTTGAAAATTAAAATAATTATTTTCCTCTATTAAAAATTTAAAAAAAAAACTTATTTCAAGAAAACCTAATTCTAAATCAGTCTGCTAGAATTTTTTTGAATTTCATTTTCTTTGAAGGAAAATTCCCAGGTAAATCACAAAAAAAGTACATGAGAGCATGAGGTAAAATGAGAGAGCAGTAAGCCAAATCTTATTTATTAAATGCCATTTTTGACATTCCAATAGAATCTTTTTACTATTACTCAATGCACTAGATTTCTTTTCTGTGAGGAGAGAGTAGTAAAAGGGAACTTTGATTTTACAGGTACATAACTTTATCTACTTGCATCTATCCAGATAATCTGTTTTATATTGTTACTGTGAATATGATTTACCTTGTCAGAAGATGTTAAAGAAAGTCATATGAACTGCAGGCCTCTAAACTGCAAGCAAGTCAGGCAATCACAAGCATTTGACACATACTCTCTCCTCATAAGCTTCTTTTTTAAATTACATAAAATTTAAAAGAAATCAAAGGCCCTACAAAAGCTCAGGACAAAGATGGATTATACATTAAAGTTCAGTTAAGTTTTACTATATGCATATGCTAATGAGTTTGCTATATGAGTATAATTTTATATTGCTTCCCTAATAGTTATAGAATATATTAAATTGACAATACTAATAACATAGTAGCTAATATTTATTAAAGATTCAGTTGACCCAGGTACTTAATAATGTTAATAAACTTAGATTGTATTATTTAGTTCTCATACTAACACTATGAAATAACTGTATTTTACAAATGAAAAAGTTGAGGCATAAATTGTTAAGAAACTTGCTCATGATCACATAGTTGTAAATGGTGGATTGGAGATAAAAGTTCAAGCACTAGGACTCCAGAGCTCATGCTATTATTTATTACCAAATTTTTGTCATCAGCAATTTACCAACTAAAATGTAAGCTGTGTGAAGACTTTTCAAATCATCTAGAATGAACTTTCAAGTTTAATTTGAAACTCAGAGATAACATTTTATGGTAGCTAATAACTCTCCAAATTGCAATTTCTTCTAGAAATGAATGCTAAGAAAATTGAGTTTGAACAATTTCTGCCCATGATGCAAGCTATTTCCAATAACAAGGACCAGGGCAGTTATGAAGACTTTGTTGAGGGTCTGCGTGTTTTTGACAAGGAAGGCAATGGCACAGTCATGGGTGCTGAACTCCGTCACGTTCTAGCTACACTGGGTAAGGGAAATTTATTTCTGTGAACTTAATAGGACAAAATACATAGCAAAGAACATGACTTAAGGGAATTGTGTTAGAATAAAAATAGGTATGGGGAAAGACTATAAAGGAAAAATGAAAAAGAAGAGTCAAAAGTTAATGACCATTCCAATTGGCCTCAGTGTTAATGAGTTTGTTTTGGGGAAATGGTAACTTAAATTAATGGTAATGAATAAGTAAAGTAAAACATTGTAATTCTTGTAAGATATAATTTGGGTAATCAAGTACAATTGTGCTTTTAATTAATTTATTCAAAAACAATTTATCAACAACCTATTAAGTGCCAAGAGCTTAGTCATAGTCTCCAAGAGCCTAAAACTGATCCCTTATGGTAGAATTTTTAAAATGCCCTCTGGCCTTCTTTCTGACCAAAGTGTTCTGCTTCATCAGGTGAAAAGATGAAAGAGGAAGAAGTGGAAGCTCTAATGGCAGGTCAAGAAGACTCTAATGGCTGCATCAACTATGAAGGTACAATCTCACATGCTCTGGTAGTTACAGCAACTCTTAACCGATTTGGTTGATTATGGACTCCTTTTAAGCTTAAAATCTTTTTCTCTGTCTCCCTTATTAAACATGCAGTTGCTACTTGTTACCAATCAATTACATAGTAACTCTTAGAAGATATCTTGTGAAGATCTGACTACACATACTTAAGATTTATCTTAGTGGGTTTTAGCACTCCTGTGTATTGTTATACAGCTTAAATGTGTTTTCATATGTACTTTTTCTTATTAGATCTTCATAACATCTCTATAAGATAGACAGGGTTGTGTCAGAATAAAATTTAATAGAATATTAAAGTTAGAGAGATCTCAAAATCCTTTACTTCAAGTAATTATGAAAATGAGGATACTGAGGCCCAAAGAGGTGTAGTTATTAGTGATGGTCACATTGTTAACGGCAGGGCTAGTGCTAAAATTTAGTTCTTGTCTGGTGTTCTCGCTTAAAGGAAAGTCATCTCATAGTGACTAATTGTCTATTTCCTGCTACCAATTTACAGCAGCTTCATACAGAGGATCTGAAAAGCAATGCACTACACAAACTAAAGATGCAAAATAAGGCTTTATGATATAATTTGTAAGTTTAAAAGTTCCCAATAAAATTGAGAAATTTATCTATTTCCAAAAAAAACTAATCTAGTCACATTTCAATAAAGCTATGTTGATAGTTTTGATGTAAATGTAGACTTATGAAGTCTAACGATTTGGAAAAAATAAGAAAAGAAGAGAGAAGTAGGGAAGGAAGAAGAGGAGAGAAGAAGAAAGAGAAGAGGAGAGGACAGAAGAAAAGAAAAGTAATCAGCCAAGTATACCTTCACTGACAATCTTGATTAAACTTCACTTTTCCCCATAAATAATGTTTTACATTTGGTTATTGCCATTAATACAACATAAAAAAAGAACCATTCGATAAATATTTTTTGGACAAGTGGATAGTCATCTAGAAAAATTAAGTCAGATCTGGATCTTATACCATGATAAATTTCAAATGGGTCAAAAATTTAAATGTAAAGGAAATAAGCATAAAAGCCATGGAAGAATTTTTTTTATATAACTTCTGGAGTTGAAAGGCCCTTCTAATAATGATAAGAAACCCAGAAGGCATTTCAAATTTTGATAAGTTCAACCATATATATTTTTTTAATCTATATGGCAAAGCCACCAGAAGCAAAGTCAAAAGACAAATAGCAAACAAAAAAATTGCAATTAACATCAGAAAGAGCTCATTTCCCTAATTAAAAAAGAAAAACTATTACAAGTTAATAAAAATGCCACAACTCAATAGAAAAATTATCAAATACATGAAGAGACAATTCATGGAAAAGGAAATAAATATATAAATACAGTATAATATGCTAAACGTTGTTAATAATAAAAGAAATGTAGATTAACACTACACTGAGATACCATTGTTAAATAAGCTGATTGTAAAAGATGGAAAGTTAGACCACACTATAGGTTGAGGAGAATGCGTGGAAAAAACTGATCTCATGCATTCTCGATGGGAATGTAAACCATTTAAATTCCTATGTGGTGATGTGGTACTATTAATTCCAGAAAATCTACTTCAAGAAGGTAGTCTTTAGATATACTTGTACTCAAGTGAAATGAACGATGCATGATTATTCATTAACAGTGTTGTTTATATTGCCCAAATATTTGAACAACTTAATGTCCATTGATGTAGGATATATCAAATAGATCCCAGTACCTCTACACAATGAAATACCCTATGGCCCTAAAAATAATGACAATCTTGTTTATGGTTATGATAATATCTCCAATACATAATCTTAAGGAAGAAAAACAAAAGCAAAAGAGTTTATAGACTATTCCATTTGTAAAAATATTTTTAGGAATATATATGTATATTCTCTTATACATGAATAATAGCTCCACCAACTTAGCTATAAAGAGAAGAATTAGATAGCTGGCAGACAGCAGTGAGAAATTTTTTTTGTCATAAATTCTTTTATACTTTAAAGAAGAAAATTTTAGCGATGTGAATGTACTACTTATTCAAAAACCAAATTTAAAAAATCAGGGGAAAGTCCATAAATGAAGTAAAAGGATAGAGAGCTGTACAGAGCTTAATATATATATATATTCACACACACACAAACACACACATACACACTCACGTATATATGTGTGTGTGTGTATATATATATATACATATATATGTATATACTCTAGTGTTATAGCTAAGAATAACTGGGATTGAGATAACTTGCAAAAATCTCTTTTATTAAATTTGACAGTTTTCTAACCCTAAATTGTCTGTATTCTGCCTACAGCTTTCGTCAAGCATATTATGTCTATCTAAGTGGAGCTCTCAAAGTATGTGTTTCCTTTTTACTATTAAGCCTTTCTTGATATTGTATCTTTTAAAACTTTAACAGTTTCACTTTATATGCCATAGATATAATTAGTATTAATTCTTAATTAAGAGTTATTTATATTAATCAGAAAACATCAACTCCTTGAAACAAGTTATTTAGAAATAGAGCATTTTTGTATATATTTATAAGCAAAAACTTCTGATGTTTTTGCTTCCATCTATAAACTCTATCACTGACTGTGCTATAAGTATACAGTGGAGATTAAACAAGCCAGAGACTAGTTAATTAATTTCATTGAGACATAACACTAATAAAAGCATGGGCCTAAGTTCAAATAACTCATGAAGTTTTTAACAATTATTGTTCTAGAAAATCGTGTTATGACAGTCCATAGGCAACCAGGCTCTTAAAACTAGGAAATGGCTTACCTTGGAAGTGCTGGTTCATTTTATGCTTTTTCTTCTTTTGCACTTCACATTATTTCTTCCTCAGTTTTCTTTCTGAAAGCATACAATCAATATCCAACTCATTTTCCCTTTTCCTTTACAGGTCGAGCATTGTTTAGGAAGACTGGCTGGAAACATATTTTAATAACACCCATGATTAACCGTCCAGATCTGTGCACCATCATTCAGGAAAACAAAACAATGTGGGCTGTTCTAGACTGAAAGACTCCCTGAATTTTTTTATACCTTACATTTCTCTCTGAATTGTATTCAGACCATACAAACCAAATGTCTCCTGCTCTAGACAAGAATAAAATACAATCTCAAACCCAAACACCACTCTTTATTTTCTAACATGGGTCAATGAACATCCTTAAATTAATAAATCAATAAATAATTTTGGTCAGTCTGGAATGTTCAAGCTGCATTCTGTTTTTATCTTCTTGCTTAGAGAAAATGATTTTTAAAACCTCAATCCTTTTCTTAATGTATAGAATACTGATAAATTATAAATGTTTAAAAGAAAAATCATTACAGACTACATAGCAATAACAGATTGAATAATAATGATTATCATACGTTATTGAAAAAGTGAAATGGAGAACTGGGGAAATTCAGAGGATCAGAAATGTTTTAATTTAAACTATCTAGGTGATTTAAGATGAAAGCAGATTTCTTCAGTTTTGAGAACATCATTGTATTCATAGCTAGATCTATTTCATTTCTAGTGACAATCTGGCCTATTAGAAAATTCTAATAAGCCCTGATCCTTCTCACTGAATGTCTTCAAGGATAAACTTTAAAGTCACCTTTCAGCTGTTACTTAAAAAAAACCTCTCTGGAGATGAGACTGTTACTCAAGAACATGTCTATTAATATTCTCTCTCCTGCTATGACCCCCTCTACTTTGCATGTCCATGTCTCAAAATCTTGGTTCATTCTTTTACTACATGTCCTACATGGTTAGACTAATTGATAGAAAAGTTCACAGTGCAAACTTACTTTGTCATATTTTAATGCTATCAGGCAGAATTTGCAAGTTAATGGTTGAATATTTAGAAGAGATGAAATGATAAAGAGTTCTCCCACTCTCTAAAAATATGTCGGTATAATATGAGATTATAAAATCTCTGTAAAGGACCTGGCTGCCTAGGCATTTTTGAAAGCTGAAACAACTTTTTCCTCATGTTGGGCACTTCAGGTCAACATGCTCCTTCTTTCTTCAAAAAAGGTCACTCAGATTTTAGTAGCCAACAGCTTCAACTTTGACCTATTTTTGTAGCCAAAATTATGTTCAGAAATTACAATCACACTCTTAAGGAAAATTCACCATGGCCTCAAGGTATTTAAGACCAAGGTCACCTAAGATCAGGAACTGGAAATTTCACCCAGTGCTGTCCAACAGAACTTTCAGTAAAATGTAAATCTATATCTATATTGTCCTGTTTGGTAACCACTAGCCACCTGTGGCTACTGAGCACTTGAAATGTGGTTAGTCTGACTGTGGAATTGAATCTTAAATTGTATCTCATTTTAATTAATTTAAGTAGCCACCTGTGGTTCATGAATACTATACAGAACAGTGTTGGTTTCAAAATATATTTATATTTCGTTGTTACATAAGGCAACAAAAATGTTTTTGAAAAATTACAAATGTCACCATGTTGAAAACTTGACTGGTACAAATAATCCAATCACAAAAGGCTCATTTTTATTTCGAAATATGTTGTTAAATTTCCCAGCTGTTATACTCCTTTAACATTTTTCAACTAGAAAAATGTGCTATCTACAAGGTACTAAATATTTAGTCTCAAGATTCATATTTAATGCTTTTCCCTCAAGACCTTATACAACTGCTATAACTCCCAATGGGATAACGTCTAGTACACTATCATGGGACCTAACCTTATTAAATTACTATGTGTGAAATGCCCATAACTCAGGGAGTAGCAGGTGCAAAATAGAGTAGCGAGTGAAAGAGTGACAATAATTTTTAACATCTACACCAGATGGCAAAAATGACAGGTGCTTAATTCCTCAGTCTTTAAAAATAACTTTCAAAAAATCTTCACTGCATAAGCAAATATTTCCAAGTTTGTTTTTAACTATCTTCAAGTTGCTTCCTGACCAAAAAAATATTAACTTTTTGCCTCAAAATATATTTGAAACTTAGCACACAGGAACTTAATTTATCCTCCTTTATGAATGAAATAAATGATTATTAAATTAGAAAAATAAAATTTTATTTTTAGATTTCATGATAATATTTCTCAAGAAACATATCAAAAAGAACTCTTAATATACCCCTCTCTAACTTTATTTACATGTCTTTTTCTATAGTGGCAGATATAACTTGGAGCTTAATAGAATGGAGAAAGAATAGCTTCCTTTAAATTCTAAGCCTAGAGAAAACCATTAATCTATAGACTTATTCAGCAAATCAAGTCTATATCCCAAAAGAAAAGACGAGATTAAACAGCGAGTATCTGGAGTTCAGACTAAAAAGTTAGACCTGCGTGAATTATCAACATAACCGAAGCTAAAGATGAGCAAAATGATGGAAATATTCAGGCAAAGATCTCAGTTTTACAGCTGAATGAGTGAACCCCAGGCTAAGGAAAGTCAGCACAAAAGTAAGTGTGATGGCCTTCCAAACGCCTGCTGAGAATCTTCCTAGAATCCTCCTATGGAGATACTTTCTTAGTTAATCATTAACATTTGGTAGGAAGAAGTACTAGCTGTACTAGCTTGGCCTTCACCTACTGGTTCTTAACAATGTGGTTGGCCATAACTACTCTGCTTGCACCATGACCATGCAAAAATGAGAAGCAGAACCAATCATGCCCTGCCCCATACTTGAGAGGCACCCCTCATCTTCCTCCAGCCACACATCCCCAGAGCCAAGGAGTCTACGTGGAAATACAGCATGACAATTCTGTAGCTCGTGTTCCTACTCGACCACACCCTGGATACCCAGGACACCAGACCTCTCTGCCCAAATGGCCCCAAGCTCTCTTCTGGGACCTGGATGGGATTCTTCCTAGGTCTAGCCTCTTAAGGGAAGACTGTCAGAGGTGTGTGCAAACCAAAGACCCAGGGGTGGCCAAAGCCAGCTGTCTTTGTCTTGTTTTGTGTAAAGTAAAGATAGAGTTAACCACAAGACCCCTGTAGTGAAGGATGGAACTGTGGGTGGAAATGGAAGGACGGCAGGCCACCACAATGCCAAGGAGTCCAAGAATTCTAACTGGCCTTCCAAGTCATTATGACTATATCTGTCAAGGAAGTACCAGCGTATATATTATGTAACAGTTTGTTAGTTTGAATGATAACTTTTTAAAAATCTAAATTTATAGTAAGTGGACCTCTTTTTGAACTTTTGCCCAGCCCAGCAAACATAAAGGTGGACCTGCTGAGAAGGGATAAAATGCAGACTTTGTAGAGACAGATCTTCAATTTGCCTAGAAATACTCCAAGATATACTAGAAATGGGCCTAGTCTGCTTAAACTTTAAAATAATAATAATAATAATAATAATAATAATAATTTCTTTGTCAGTAATCACGTAGGTGGCAGAGAATAATTAGAGCAGTGAATAGGTTAGGCTCTTCTTTCTATCCTTGAAAAGAAAAATAAGATTATCCTTTTCTATTGTCTTCCTCCAACCTGTGAAGAAGAAAATCAACTCATCTCATAATATCCGTTGATTAGGGCGAGAATAAGTATATTGCTATTAGAATAGATGTGGATAATCAATAATACCTGGTGGTGTAATAAAAAATGTAAATTTAAAAGGAGTAAATAAAAATATATTTGGAAAAAATATTTTTATACTTTAAAGAATATTTTTAAAGACTCTACCTGTAATATGTATAAAAGTATACTTAGTGTTAACCATTTGACAAAAACTGATGCTCAATTTGAACTATAATTCAGAAGAAATGTTCAAATGACAAACATAAACTTAATCTTGCTTACTTTTCCATTGTCATCAGTTAGACTTTTAGGAAAATCAGAGCATGGCTTAAAGGGCAGGTGTTTAAGACTCAGGCTTAAGTTTGAACCCTATGCTACCACTTCTGAGCTGTGTGCCATGGAGCAATTATTTGTCTTTGAAAGTCTCCAGTTTATACTTTATAAAATGGTGTTTAAAAAGGTTGTTTTATGAGTTAAAATAAATTAAAAATGAATTATTTGGTATGCAGCAAGCACTCATATTTTCCTTCTCAATTTTTTTAGTACTATCCTCTAAGTTTATATGAAGTATCGGATTAAATCATTACTAAATTTCAATTGCCTCAAAGATAAAGTTAAAAAATTATCAAGACACATAAGACCTTTTAGGAACTTTATCAGTTTACTCTCCTGGTATTTCTTCTTAACTACTCTTTTTCCCAGTCATGCTGAATGGTGTGGGTAAGACTACAGACTTGGGTTTCGATCTGTTCGTAGATAGGTAATTGATTCTACCATGCATAAAATACTTAGGGAACCCTGTTGCGAGAATTAAATGAGACAACAAGATAAAATGTCTATGTAAGGACTAGTTATTGTATGGGCTAAATAAATGAAATAGTGGCTATTATAATCATCGTTTCTTAAACTTATGTAAGTTCCTATTCAGAAAAATTATTTTACATCTTCCAAGAATTTGCTCAGGTATCACCTCTTTTATTGACCTTGCCTCACTTCATACACCAACAAATATCCGCCACAACATATCTGTATCCTGGGAACCTGGAAAAGTATCTGACACATGGTCGGCACTAAATAAATATTTTTAAAAGCATACATAGATGGATAAATAAAACTTCTTATGACTTTTCTTATGACTTTTCTTATAACTTCTTTCCCCTTAACTTTGAAAATAAGAAACATGTCCTATGGATATTTCTATCCTGAATGATTAAGTGAGTAATAAAACTCAATAGATTCTCAATAAAAATTTAGTGACTATGTTGATGAATTAATGAATACAAGAACATATTGATAAGTGAAAATTCTTAAAATTACCAGTAGGATGACCTTGGAGTATGTATCCACCTTCTAGAACCACACGGCAAATGGGTACAAATGGGTACAAACTCTCTTCAACTGGTAATTTGTCTGGAATACTATTTTAACCAAGATTATGCAGCAGTGCTCAAGTTCAATTAGAGAGCATGTCGTGATTGATGAGCAATAAAAGAATTATTGTGAAGTCTGCCATAAAATAGGTGGCATGCATGCGTTAAATTTGCTGCTCCTGGGAGTCTAGGGCGTTTTCTTCATCAAATCAATTTCTTTATCAAGTCTATTTCAATAATGCTAACTATTATGAGAACGATATTGACCTGATAACATTTTTAAAGTATTCATTTGGGCCCTGCTCTATCTAGACACATCAGTGAACAAAACATAAAAAAAAAAAAGAAAGAAAGAAA